TATATAAGTAAATAAATAATATATATATATATATATATATATATATATATATATATATATATATTTATATACACTTATATACACTTATTTATTATATGTATTTCTTCAATTTATTTCTATATTTATAGTAAGAATCATTAAATATACTTTAATCAATTCCATAATTGCATAATGATACTTAAATTTATTATATGTAATCTAGATATTATGAAAAATAAGGAAAATATAAAGAAGCAATTGAAAATCTGATTTATTCAATAAGTATAGATCCTTACAATTCTGATAATTTTACACTTTTAGGAGTTATTTTTTGTGATTTATAAATGGTATATTTTCATACAATTTTTTTTTAAATAAAGTTTAAAAATAAAAAAAGTATAAAGAAGCTTTTTAAAGTTTTTAAAAGGCATATTAATCTGAAACATCGAAAATAGAAAATCTTTTCAATTTAGCATTATTATATGAAATCAATAAAAATTATACAGAAGCTAAAATACTATATATAAAATTACTATAATATGATCCTTAAGATTGTTTAACTTTATAAAGAAAAGCATGTATTGAATCATAAAATTTTTAAAATTTATCTGAATCTTTGTATTTTCTTTTTATATTATTATTTTTATTATTATAAATATTTTAGAAGTTAAATGAGATTTCCTTAATTTAAACCAAGTGCTAAATTAGATAAAGAAAATAAAATAAATAACAATAGAAATATAAATAAAAATCTTTTAGATTTATATAATATACAATTTTTAGAAAAATTAAAAAATAGTATTTTAAACGAAAATAAGGATTAAGTATAATAATAATAAAACAAATTAAGAAATGAAAAATAAGAAATTGAGTATAGTAAAAAAATAGAATATAAAAATAATGATTTATAAATATAGTAAAAGGAAAATATTATGAATAATAATAATATTATGAATAATAATAATAATAATAATAATAATAATAATAATAATAATAATAACAAAAAGTTTTCTTTAATTGAAAATATTGCTAATTTAAATAATACTAAAATTGAATATAATAAACATAATATTAATGATTTTAATGAAACAAGAATAAACTAAATTTAAAATGAAAGTATAATAATAAGTACAAATTTAATTAATATTAATTTTTTATGTTTTTTTATATCTAATATATAGAAATTGATAACAATTATTATAATTAATATTGCTATAATTCAAGTCCTAAAAATGAATTTAAATTTAGAAAAGAAAGCGATTTGTTTTTATATGATAAAATTTCGCTTTTTAATGTTGAAGGTTTAAACTTTTATAATTATTATGGCGAGAAAAATAAAGATTCTACAGATTATAGCTTTTGTTTTAACGGATAGAATGATATTCTCGATTTTGTTTGTAATAAATAATCTTTAAATAATTAAAATAAAATATGAAATGTAATAGACTTAATAACAAAAAATTAATTTTTTTTTTTTTATAAAATAAAACATAAAAAAAAAAAAAACAAACAAACAATTATAAACAAGAAATAAAGTTAAATATTAAATTAATATATTAGTTTTAATTATAAAAAGAAAAATATATTTATATTTTTTATCTAATTTAATAAAATAAATTAACTATATCTAAAATATTCTTTTTTTTTATTTTATTAAAAAAAAAAAAAAAAAAAAATCTTTTTTTTTATAAAAAAAAATAAAATGATTAAAATAATATTTTTGGCTTTATTATTAATACTCATAAGCCTTTCCATTTAAAACGAAATCGCCTAAACTGAAAAAAATGTATATTTACTTACAGACGAGAACTTTTAGAATACTATAGCCTCTAAATAATTTATCTTAGTGAAATTTTACGTAAGCTGGTGTGGATTTTGTAAATTAATTGAATCTGATTATTAGAAAATAGCTGATTATTTAATTAAAGAATAAGCCAATAATATCGCAGTAGCATAAATAGATGCAGATTTGTATCCTTAATTAGTAGAAAAATATAATGTTTAAGGATACCCTACTTTAAAATTATTCTAAAACGGAGATTTGGACAATCCAGTTGATTATGAAGAAGAATTTGGGATTTAAAATGTCTTGACTTGGCTTAGGAAAAAAAATGGAAAAGTTAGTAATGAAATAGTTACAATAGAAGATTATTAAAACTTTATATAAAAAAAGAAAGTAAGCTTAGTTTATATTGGTAATTTTTAAAAATAAATAAATAAATATGTAAAAAACAATATTATTAAATTATTATTATTTTTTTTTTAAAAATGTATATAAATATATTTATATATATATATATATATATATATATATATCTTTATTTAAAATGGACAATTTAAAAACGTAAAACATTAGAGTTTTAATAATATATATATATATTTATATATATAATATTTTTTAAAAAAAGAATATATATAACTATATTTAAATATATAACCATATTTAAAATTTAACTATATATTTATTTATATATATACTATATAATATATAAATTAATATAATTATAAATAGGATAAAGTAAGCATGATAAACAATGGTTTACTTTTTCATCAATAGCCTAAAACTATCACGATATATCATTTTATAATATATTTAATCCCGAAACAAAATTATTTCATTTTAAAAACATCACAGACAATAGTTAATTAACTTTAGAAGATATAGATAATTAAAAAACTTAATTAGTTCTTTTCAAAAAATTCGAAGAACCTTATTTAATATATGATAATGCTTTTACATATTCTTAAATAACTAAATTTTTAGAAGTATATGCCTATTCTTTAGTAATGCCTTTTAACGATCATGCCATAAGGAAATTATTCAAAAAACCCTATACAGTAGGAATAATTCTTTTTTCAATCAGAAATGAATAATCTTTATAAGCAGAGGAAGCCTTTAAATAATCCGCTTAAGAGAATAGGGGGAAACTTTAATTCTTTTTATCCCATCCAGATGACGGATTTGGGAAATTCGAAAGATTGGCAGAACATGTAGGCATTGAAACAATAAAATCGCCCCAAATTATAATTGTAGAAAGCAAGAATTCAGGTGAAATTGTGAAAAAATTCCTATATACCTCCGCCTAAGTAAATACTTAGGAAATTAATACATTTATTTAAAATTTCTTAGATTAAAAATTACCCATTTATTATAAAAGCGAAGATATATATAATAATAATAACTAACCTGTTAAATAATATGTAGGAAAAGACTTTAAATAATAAGTACTTATTTCCGAAAATAATGTTTTGGTAAAATTTTATGCTCCTTGGTGTGGGCATTCTAGATAATTAGCACCTATTTATTTAAAAATAGCTGAAAAGTTTTCATATTTGAAAAATTTGGTTTTCGCTAAATATGATTATACAACTAATGACTATCCAGGACTAGTTATTAAAGGATTCCCTACTTTAAAACTCTATTTATAAGGAAGAAAAAATGCGCCAATAGAATATGAAGGAGAATTAAATGAAGAAAGTATTGATAGTTGGATTTAATAATTTTTAAAAGGGTAATTTTATACTTTTTTTATTTATATTATTAATTTTAAATATTTAGAGCTAGTAGTGTTAAAAAAGAAGATCTTTGAAAAAATAAAGAAAAAAAAATAATATTTTATATATTTTTATGTGTTTGTTGATTAGAATTTTTCTATTTATATTTAAAATATATAATAATTATTTAAATAAAAAATAAAAATAAAATATATTATTGATAAATATAAAAAGATATATATAAATATATAAATATATAAATATATATATATATATATATATATATATATATATATATATATATAAAAGATCTGTTTTTACTTGTTGCTCTATCTTTATCACTCCTATATTGTATTTTGTATATAAATTAATCCTTAAAAAGAAGGAAATTAACCTGATAAAAAAGAAGTAGAATATTTACCATATGGATGATTTTTTTTATTCATTTTTTTTTTATCTTAAGTGTTTAACATTTTTTAATTTTTTTTTTACTTAATTTAGTTTTTTTTTATATATAAAAATTATGTTTTTATTATTAGAAAAAATAAAATTATTTTTATTAAATCAGATTTTTTTTTAAAAAAAATATTATTATAATACTTATAATAATATATTATATTTATAAAAAAAACATATATTATTTTATTAATTTAAAATTAATTATTTTTATTTTTATATGTAAAATAAATAATAATTTTTTTTATTAAATATTATATAATTTGTATCTTTATTTTAAATTTATTTTTGAATTTTTATTTCTAATTTTTTGAAAATAAAATCAGGATTTCTCAATGTTTATTCTCTTAAAATAAGAAATACAAAACTAATATTTTTTTATTTAATATTAAAATATATAAAATATATAATTATTGAAATTATATTATAATACTGAATTTAATAAATAATAAATACATATTTTATAATTTTAAAATATTAAATTATTCAATAATTTATCTAAATACTTAAATAAAATATTTTTTTTTATTTTATATATAAATATTTGTTTTTGTATACTTTTTTTTAAATTCGCTTATATTTTTATAAATAGATAGAAGAAAACAATATAACCTTTTTATATTTTTTTGAGTAAAATTCAAATGTTTGTAATAAAATATTTTGTCAAAATAATATAAAAATATTAATTGGTCAAAAAAATTAAAAAAAAAAAAAAACATATAAAGGCTGTCGACACTCGGACTTCCCAAGCGGTCCCCCACCTTAGTACTAACCGAGCCTTAAGACGCTTAACTTCGGAGTTCGAATGGGATCCGGTGTGTTCATCTTAGTATGGCCGACAACAAAATATATGTAATCCATTACATATATAAGTATATCATTTATATAAATTAGTTAAAATTTAAAATATTCATATTTATTTTATTAAATATATATAAAATGCATTTATTATGATTATATTTATACTTTTATTTAAATCTTATTTTATTATTTATTTTATTTTTCTTAAATTATACCGAAAAAATATTAATTATAATAATATTTTTTTATTTTATTTTTAACTTCATTAGTTTATTAAAATCTTTAATATTAAAAATATAATTATTTAATTTTAAGTACAGAATCTCCTTTTAACTCCTATAATTTAGAGTTTCATGGTTTTGTTAGTAATAATTTCGATGAGATATTATATCAAAAGCTTATGTTTTTTTTGATATTATTTTTTTATCTATACTATGTTAATATTGTTAGAGTTTAAATAAAAAAATATCAATATTTTAATATAAAACTCTATATAAGAATATTGAATATTAATTTTTAGATTATTAAATATAATTTATAATTAAAATATAAAAATAAAAAAAATTAAATATATATAAATATTTAGATATTATTTGAAAATAAATAGTAATATTTAATATAGTATTTATTATTTAAATATATATATACTACCATATTTAATAAAAATTTAATTATTTTAAATATTTAAATAAATATATTATTTTATAAATATTTATAAACCTCTTTAAATATTTTAATATTTATTTTTATTAAAAAATATTATAAATTATATATTAGAAAAAATTAAAAAAAAATAAAAAAAAAACATATAAGGGCTGTCGACACTCGGACTTCCCAAGCGGTCCCCCACCTTAGTACTAACCGAGCCTTAAGACGCTTAACTTCGGAGTTCGAATGGGATCCGGTGTGTTCATCTTAGTATGGCCGACAACAAAATCAATTGCGTTTTATTATATATATATATTAGTATTTTAAAGAAATACAAATATTTATATATATTAAAAAATATAATCATTTTTTTTATATATATATTAATAATATATAAATATTAATATATTATATTTTTTTTATATAAAAAAATGGTTATATATTTTAATCTAAATTTTATATATATGGTATATGTTATATTAATATTATTAAGATTTTTATCTTTTACAATATAAAGTTAATTTCATAATAAATTTGATAAAAAATTATAATTGATATTTTAATTATATAAATATTATATTTATAGACTTTATCATAATTATTTATTTATATATTTTTTTTTTTTGTTAAATAAATATATATATAGATTTTTTATTTTGTTTTCTTTTATATTTGAGTTAATCTAATAAAAATTTGAGATTAAAATTATTTTAATAATATTTAATTTATTCATAATTTAATTAAATATTTTATTTATTTTTTATAATATCTAATTTTCAAATTATCACACATATAATATAAATATATAATGAATAAAAATTAATAAAATGACTTAAATCATTATATACAATTAAAAAGCCTATATAAAAAGAAATAAATAAATATTATTTTATTTAAGGTAAAATAAAAAAATCTTAATAAAATACTAATAATATATAAAAAATAAGATTAAAAATATATTATAAATATTTTATTAAAAGAAAAAAAAAAAAAATATTATTTAATATCAATTTAAAATAAATAAATAAAAACATAGATTATTTATTAATAAAATTGAATATTTTTTTTTTTTATTTTTCTTTATTTAAATAAAGAAAAAAATATCAAGCAAAAATTATTTATTTAATTACAAAAATAATATTAGAATTTAAATTTATTTTTTATTATCTATTAAAATAGATTTATAGTGTATATAAACTTATTCTAAAATACATTTTAATGGCTTTTTGTTAAATAAAGTATATTTATAATTGAAACCTTATATGTTATAAATAAACAAAAAATATTACATATAATCTTATTATTGTCTCTTAATATAATTAAAAATAATACTTAAGGCCTCTCTTTCCTATTTTAATAAATATCTGTACAATATTTGTCTAAATAAGACGATCGAGACTTGTTTATGTAAAAATTATACAAATATTATTTATTTTAATCAATTAAATAATAAAATAAGATGATATTAATTATAATAAAAATAATACATTGATAAATAAAAAGAACTGGAGGAGTGAGGAAAAAAGAAATTTTCTAAAATTTAAAATAATATATAAAATAAAAAAAAAGATATGTTTATTTCTCTGAAATAATTGAATTTATATATATATATATAATATTTTATTAATTATATAGTAAGTATTTTTATTATTAGTTTAAAAAAAAAAATCGAATAAGTATTAATATATATTTTTAAATAAATACATATAATAATAATAATAATTTTTATTCCTTTATTAAAGTATATAAACAAATTATAATTATAATAAATTTGTGTTATTTATAAGTAATTTTTTATAAAAAAAGTAAAATAGGGGATAAAACTCTATTATTAGTCTTATATAAAAAATATGTAAATATAAATGATTTTCCAAACAAGAAAAAATTATTAATAAAAATATTTTCTTTTTTATTTAATATTTCAAAGAATTTATTATTTAAAATAATATATATATATATATATATATGTATATTTTATATAAAATTATATCAATCATTTAATTAACAAAGCATAGCTACTCCTCTTTTAACCCAAACAGATTAATCTACAATACTCGGCATTTCAATATTCATAATAAAATTAGTGGAATGCCCTGTAGTCGAAAGTGTTCCTTTTCTTTCCGAAGTTTTATAAACAGGACATTTATATACATTAAATTCTTTAACTTCATTAATTTTGGCTGGTTTAAGCCATATTATAGGAGTTTAAACGAATAGTATTTTCGGATCACTTTCATTTAAAATCTTATTTTCATAATCCCATTTACATCCTTCTAAATAAAGCCCATACATTAAATTTCCATCTTAAATATTAATAAATTTGGCAACATCATCTGGATTATCTCCCGGTTCTGAATAAAATTAGAACTCGAAAGTTAAATTATCAATTGGAATAGTATATTTTCTAGCATAATTTTATAAAGTAGCAGTCAAAAAAGTCTAAGTAAAATAAAAACCGGAAATCCAATGGCATTTAGGGACATCATTATCGATCCAGTTTTGGTAATATTTCAGTCTTTTTATTAAATCGCTTACGTATGCACCCAAAGGCTTTAATGACGGATATGAGTATTTCTTCCACATATCAGGAACTAGTCCTTTTAATAGAGAATTGCATAATTTTTCTAATTAAGAAGATAATACAACTATGCCTTTTAAAGCATTTTCTATTTCTTTTAGAGATGAAGATATAGCTTGTATTAAATTATTGTATCTTATTATTTCCTATTATAGTACAGTGTTCAAAGAATTTTAATATTAAGTAGGATATTTAGCCAAAACTAACTCTAAATCGAATTTTTTAGGCATTTTTTAAAGAATATCTTAACAAATAGCTTTTAATTAAGCATCTTAATCTGAATCAGATGACATCATAGAACTACCGCCCATCATTAATAATAAAGAATTGCAAATTTCGTCAGTTTCTTTTAAATCTTTAACTATCATACCATTTTCATGAAAACCGAAAATACTAGGCCTTTAATTTAAAGGAAGTTCTTCTTCTATAAATTAAGTATAATCATTATGTGAGCCTACTTAGGGTAACTTTAATAAAAATAAAATAGTAATATAAATAAATATATATGTATTTATTAAACATATTAAAAATATAATATAATTTTAATTTAATAATATTATATTTATAATTATATATACTTAATAATTTTTATCATTAGCAAAATCAAAATTATTTTCAAATAAATTAGAAGAAAAGTAATCTTTCATTAAAGCATGTAAAATTCTTCTATCTCTATCATCAGTAACTCTTCCACCATAATTACATTCCCCGACCATATAATGTAAAGCTTTATAAGGTACCTAATCATATTCTTCAATAAGAATATATAATTATTTAGCACTAATTCTTAAGTCTGACTAATTAAAATCATAAAATATGTTCCATCCTAAAGGTCCATATGTTCTTCTTTCTTAAATAACAGCATGAAAAAAACATAGACCATATAATAAGGTTTTAAATTATTTTGGTTTAGGATGATTTTCAAAGAAATTAGGATCTTGTATTTAATCACTCATATAAGAAACAAGCATATTAGATTTAACACCTTTAGGGGGTTCATTTGTCATTTTAACACTATTTTATAAAATAGACACAGGAAAATCAGAACTTGGATAACTAGAAAGCCATAATCTTTTTAAAAAAAAATTATATAAATGTGTAGATGTTATAAATATAAATATATAAATATATATATAGAAATATAAAAATAAATAAATATTTATAAACATATATGTTAAAATATATTATTAAATATTTATAAATAAAAAAAAATTTATATAAATATATATATATATATATAATATATATATAAATATATATATTTAAAAAAATATTTTAAAATATAATCTTATATATATATATATATATTTTACCTGAATTAAACATTTATTTTTTCTTTAGATTATCCTTAATTTTACATATCTTCGCAAATTTTTTCTAATTTAGGCATCCAACTCGGACATAAATGGCAATTTTACAAAATAACCCAAGATCCTTGTTTTTATGCATCTTCAATTGCTTTTTCAGCATGAATGCCTTATCCTTAACCAAGTGAAATAGCTTTTAAAGATTTATTTTTTTATTAAGCAAAATTAATTAACGATGACATAGGATCTGTTCCTGGTAATATAAAAACTAAGGGCTATGAACAATTTGAATCATTAAAACTTAATTATAGATTAAAAGGTGGTGGATTGGTAAATTTATCTCCAAATTCTTAAAATTATAAAAATATTAATTATAAAATAATTATGAATGTTTTAATAAAAAAATATTGATAAATTATAATTTAATTAAAAAAAATTAATATATAAATATTTATGAATGCAAATAATTATCCATGTAAATATAATTAAAAATATATTTTAATATAAATATAAATATAAATATATATATATATATATATATATATTTATAATACCTTATCTTATAAAATCTTATATAGCTAAAGTAATTCTATCTGGTCTATAAGCTTTTAGTATACATAATCTTTATATTTATGTACAATTTTAGAAACTTCCAGGAAATTTAGCTTAATGAGCTTCTGAATCATAATATATATTTTTCCAAATGTCTATATTTTCTGCAAAAGATTATACAATTGGCTTAAATCTTTATGAAATTTTCGAAAGCGCTATAATTTTTAGCCAATTGTTTTATGGAAGAAACGATTTAGCTATATTTACCTCTATATCTTATTTTTTTTGACTATCGAACGAAATATCTATAGGTTAAATTAAAAAACATAATTCTTATTTATCTATATGTTTTTTATTTTCTTAAATTCTAATTAATAATAGAAAACTAAATAAAAGTTTATCTTTTTCAAAAAGAGATCTACATACATTAGAATAAATAGAATAAGTTAAATATTAAGAAACTATAGAAACCCTTTCTGATGCAATTTAAGTTTTTATTTTCTCTGCTTTATCAAAGGCATCCAAATATAAATTAATAAACCAACTTAAAGAATATTAATACATTTAATCTTACACTGCCATATCCATTATAGAAAAAAATAATACTGTACTGTGATTCGCTATAGGCCTATATTCTTATCTAGATTATTCTAAACGCTATTCAGTTACTTTTGCTTCTTCTTATCTTTCAATAATATCATTAGAAACTTATTTTGATTATTATAAAATCTAAACTCCTTATTCGTCATCTAATATATTATCAGCTTTGTTTAATACTTCAAGAATTTATTTTTCTATATCTTCAAGTTATTATTAATATTTATGATTCTTTAAATAAATAAATTAAATATAAAAAAAAATTAATATATATATTATATATATATATATATATATTTATTTTATATTTATTTTTTACTTAAACTATAAGTTGAATTCTTTAATTTTCATCATGTGGGTTTTCTTTTTAAATACAAATTTCTAAAAGCTAATCTTCTAATCCTTCTTTAGTAATTGTAAAATTTATAAGTGTAACCTTAGTGGATATTTCTGGTGTAAAATGCGGATTTCTTAATTTACTTGTTAAAAATAGTTTAAAATTTTTCGAATAATCGATTATATTGTCCCCTACTTTAATACTTAAAACTCCTGCATTTTTAAAAGTCTATTTAGCTAACAAAGGGTCCATAATCGGATCTATTTCCTCTTTTAAATTTTCCACAATTAGGCATTGTCCGAATTATATTGAACTTTCTAAAATTCTCACAAAGGAAGAGTCTGTCTATTTAACCACTGTGACTTTGTTATCCATTTCGTTTTTTCTTATCCATCTATTACCCTGCATTTAAGGGTCTATGAAAAGTGGCCATCTTCTACTATTATATGCAATAATACCATTTTCTCGAGAAAAAGAGTCTGATGGTAAATAATTCATATTCCATTTTCTTATAATAATAGGCTCACCTAGTGTATTTTCTAACGAATAATGTTCAGAAACTTAAATATGCTAACTTTTCGCATATTCAACCCATTCTTTGACTTATTTGCTTCTATAAAGTTAACTAAAAGGTCCTAAATAAGATATAATTCCAGTCGAAACAGTCACATCACCGACTACAAACAGCAAATACTACTCCAATTTATCTGCTGTATTCTTCCATCTTTCCTATTCTCCGCCCAACCCTCCAATAAGCGAACTGGCTCTTTCTAATTTCCTTTCACAATCCACAATATCATTCTATAGCTGCTTTTATTTCTTACAAATTTTATCAAATTCTTACTACAAAGCGTTTATTTTATTATTATGTTCAGCTAAATTATCCCTTATAACCTTAAGATCTTCCTACAATTTTCTAACCTTAACATTACTCTCATGATACCTCTATTATTTAGGCCTTACAATCTGCAATACTTTTTCATATTCCGACAAAGCCAGAATCCATTCACAAAGCCCTTTCGCAGCCGAAGATGCTTATTCGACTCTTTTTGGGTTGAAAAGCTTAGTTTAAGAAATATATTTATCCCTGACTTTTTTCATTATACTTTCATCTATATTATCCTTATTATATTCCTTTAAAATCTAAAGGAAATGCTTGTCCGAAAGGAACTTTTTAGAAGCCTCCCAATAACTCATAATCCTTTCTTTCGGATATTTAGGATTAGGGATAGGAAGGGGAGGTATTCCATTTAATACACAAACTGCTTCCATTACCAATTGGACTGTTTCTGGAGGTTTTAGCATTGCTTTCATTTTATTTATGTCATTAGGGTCTAGTGTATTTAAAGCTTCTTCGGCTTTTTTTAACTAAGGTTTAGCCTGAGATAGGTCTCTTTCACATTCCTCTTTTATAAATTAGGCCTCTTGGACGTTTTTATCTACTTCGGCTTCTTATTGTTCCACTTCTTACCTCATGGGCTCTATTTCTTTTGCTTTTCTTTGTATTTCTAGGGCTATAATTTCTGTTTCTTCGTTCATTTGAATCAAAACAGGCTTTTTTTCAGTCAATTCCTCTTCCATTCTTTTCACCTATTCGGACGTAGTAATTAATTTATAGACCCCATTCTAGTACACGTTTTTATTTTCTTCCAATTTCTTATGTTGAATCTATAAAAGACTTTTTAAATTACTCAAAAGCTCCAAATAAGAACTGGGAGTTATATAATTTATTCTTTTTTCTTCTCTATAGTATTCTTGGGAAAGGTCAATTGCTGAAAGGTGCATCTTTTTGGAAATATTGACCAATTTTCTTGATTATGCACCATCTAAGTACATTTCGGCAATTAATTTATGTGCAACAGCCTCTAAAGCTTCTTCTGGCCATTATTTATATTAAATAATAGTCGTACAGTTTACTATATTGGGAAAGTTTCGAATTCTATTACGTAAAGTATCGCCTATAGGACTCTACATTAAGATTATATGTAGTTTTTTTTTTACACATGAAATAAAATAGTCATAAAATTAAGAATTAGTTCCTTATTCTATAAGTTTTATTTTGTTTTCTTTTTTCGCATTTTATCTAAGTTTATCAATTAAAGGAATAAAGTCTTCTTAAGAAAACATATTCGGAATATCTGCAGAATTCAACAAATTATTTAACTCTTCCAAAACAAAAGGCTTTTAAGCCTGACTGTCATTTATAATAAAAACCGACTCTTTTTAATCAGCGCCTGACTAAATCATTAGTCTTCTAATATCTTCATTCCATTGTTCCTTACCGTAACTTTTTGTCATTTCTAATTACATAGTATGTAGTTATCTAATATGAGATGATAAATAAGTTAATGATTGCCTACCGGAACCACCTAAACCTATTAATAGACCATGTCCTCCTTATAATCGAAGAATTCTGCAAATATTTATTATATGACAAATTGCGAATTCAAAAAGTACTAATTACATAGGTCTTTTGTTATTTTAATTATAATCTTCTAAAAAATATTCGATACGAGCAAATATTTTATCCATATCAATCTACAAACATTTTTAAATTTTTATATATATATTTTTAAATTTTTATATATATAATTATATTTTATACCATTTCATCATATGGTCTTTCAGAATCTATATCTCCTAATATTTCACCAAATCTAATTACTCTAATAGGATCTGGTGTTAGTATGTTCATTTTAACATTATCATAGAGTCCTTTAAGTAGCATTTTTATGTCTTCTGTTACTTTATTTCTTACTGTACTAACTAAAGTATTATAAAACCATAATTAATCTTAATCAGAAATGAGTCTGTCAAAGAAAACTCTACTTATTTCATTTATCCATAATCTAACAATCTAAAAAGAATTTAAATAAATAAAAAAATTAAAAAAAAAACTTTTTTATCATCTGTAATTTATTATTTTTAAATCAACTATAGACCCTACACAACTCTACTAACATCTCTCAAATTAAACAAATAATGAGACTTAGCCGGTGTTGGCTTAAGATTATTACTAATTTAAATATACATATCAACCGTTGCCACTATACAATACTTAAAAGTTTTAATTTAATTTTCATCAGAAATTGAGATCTTATTCAAATGCCAAATCATAAGTTAATTGAATATATTTTCCATTTGAACCTAATTAGATTCTACGCTACAAAAAACATTAAAATGTCTCAAACATCTTGAACTAATCATATTTCTTCCACCTCCTGGAGGTCCCATAGCCGCTACAACTGTCGTATCGATAATTTCTATCATTCTCCTATCTTTTCCATACCATCCCTTCTAATCTAAAAACTACCTTATTAATTCAATCGGAGGTTATGCCCCATATTTATCCAAAGACGGCATATTAAAATCATCAACAAAAATATGACACTAAACTCCGAATTTCGGTCCGAAAATTCCCTTTCTTCTTTTATCTAGTTTACTATCGATTATCATTTAAGTTTTCTCTGAGGAAGTTTAAGCACTAAAATTCACATTAATAAGAAGAAAACTTTTCTAAGATAAAGACTTCAAATATTTGCTTATATAAGATGTTTTTCCTGTCCCAGTTAACCCTATAACTATAAAAGGGTACTAGTTATTCAATGAAATATGCAAAAGTTCAGTCATCCTTAAAGATTCGGTAGTTTTAATTACTATATTATGAAAACTTTCATCATAAGGAATAGTTTCAGTTGAATTTTCAATTAAATATTAATAACTTCTCCATTTAAATTCCCTCTCGTCTATTTAATAATCATAAACTAATACATGAGGCCCTGCTTCAGGGAACATTGTTTACTTTTCAAATTTAATCAATCTATCTTTTTTAGTATCACATTTAATAGGATTCTTCATCTATTATTTTAAGTATCTATCAAAATCGGTTCTCCCTTTATCATCTACAGTAGCCCCAACACTCCATATTAAACTATAAATAAAAATCATATCAATATAAGTTTATAAATTCTCTGGTTTAGTTTTTGCTTAGAATTCTCTATCAAGAATACTTCTTTTTTACATTATAGACTTCATTAATCTCATTAAGCCAACAACTATAGTACCTTCAGGTACACTCTAATATTCTTTACATCTAGTTTTAATAAATTAAATACATTAGCCAACAAGAGCATCAAACAACTCTTCTATATGTTTAATGATAGAATTATCTAATACTTCTTAAAACTAAATCATTAAGATAATAATAAAATATAAATATAAATATATATAATATTATTACTGTATTCTACCAAGAATATACTAAAGGCCACCAACCTAATTAATCAGGTTACATATATACCATTCCGCATCTAGAAACAGTAGCAGGTGAAGCTTAATTAAGATCTGCAACTTCAAACATCATAGTCATAGAGTTTGACATAGCAATAGTTTCTCCACTCATAAGACATAATTTTTTATTATCATCGAGTACAGTATTCATATTTTCAATCCAATCAGCATCGACAGGACCATCAAAGACAATAATTTATCTATCTGGAACATTGGCAGTAGCACATTTTCTATATACCTCAGCTAATATACCTTCTGTCCATTCTTTGGAAATCGGATCCGAAAAACCATAGAGATTATTTATGGATATAGATTTAGGATTTATAATATAATAGTTAGTCGGTAATTCTTCATTTGAACCCAATTTTTTATTCGCGAAAGTCATTGAATTTGCAAGTAGTTTATAACAAGTAGATTTTCCAGAAAAAGGCTATCCGACAATCATTAAGCCATGCCTAGTATTAATTACTTCATATAACTGAAGTATTTTCTTTCTAAAATTAACGTTATTTTATAAGTTTTATTGTGTCATTACTGTTGTTATAGACTAATTTAATATTTAATAATCAGGGTTAGGTAATTTGACGCTCGGGAAAAGATCACTTGTAATATTTTTAAATAAATCAATATCTTAAGTTAAGAATTTTGGCAAATTAACATCAGTAATAGACCTTAAAACAAGAACTTCTTCCTTTTCATTCGCATATTTTCTCTTTAAAGCCGATGCGGCAGTCAAAACTGCCTTTACAGCCCTCATTCCATAATCATAATGGTCTTAACTACTTAAAAGCTCACTACATAATTTATAAACAGCGACTATTTTCCTCGCCTAATTTCTTGCGTCGACAAACCCATATGAATATAATGAAATTTCAGCAATAAGAGAATAATCAGGAACCATCATAGCCACAGGTCTAAAAAGTGCCTTTAAATTATCAGGTAATTCGGATCGTCCAGCATACCCGGGATTCATAGTAATAAAAACATTGCAAGTATTTTTCAAAACCAAACCATCAGTCCCTTCAAAAGAAATTTCAGTCTTATTTTCCTTCTTAGCCTACTAAATCTATAAAATCTATTAAGCGATAACTGAAAGTACTTCCAAATCTATTCTATTGAATTCATCGAAACAACTCCAAGCACCTGTAGCGATTAATCCTTTAAAAAATTTAGCCATTGCATATATATTTAAGCCCTCAGAACAATTAAATACAATACATTACATAGCTAGAGCTTTCGCTAAATCTTTAACACTTTCAGTTTTACCAGTACCTGCTGGTCCTTCAGGAGCGCCACCTAAATTTAATTAAAGCGCATTCATTAAAGTTCTATAACATCTATCAGTTAAAGGGGTTATTACTAATCTTCCTAATATATGAATAAAAGAATTAATTTATTTATATTTATATATTTAAACCTGTATTTCCCAAATATTCGTATCCATATTTCATTGAGTTGGACATCATTTTTACATATAAAGTAGGATTTTAATAATCCCAATAATATCTCATTTCTGAAAGCCATTCAAATTATTAAACTTAAGAAATTTCCTCATCTATCAGTCTTTTTACGACATCTCTATTATGTACTTACATGACTATAAGTGCACCTAGAGTTATAGTTTATAAATAGCTTAAATTTTGTCGTATTAAAGTAACAATTTCTTCTAGATTCTAATCACATTCTTTATAATAGGCGTTTAATCCTAAAACACCATTCTATATAAGACTTTATTCAAGTTCTTCAGTCCAAATTAATTAAGAGATTGCTAAAACAATTTATCCAGGCCATTTCCGAACCCAGTCAGACCTTTATTCGTCATTTTGGGTCAAATCAAGCAAGGAATCATCCATTACTTTTGCAATCGAAAGTCTCATTTGTTTTTCAACTTCCAAAAGCCATTTTTCAACATTAGATTTGAAGTTTCTAGGGGATATTCTCTCTAAGAATTATATTTCTTCTTTTTCACTACTTCTCATACCTACAATATCTACATTATTATTAAATATTAATTCCGATATTCCTTCGAAGCATTTCTTCATATGAGGTTATACTAATAAAGGATCTCGTGTTTCGGCCAATATATTTAATAGATCATCATTTGAAAGGAAGAAAAATCTTGGAAATTCTAATCTTTTTGATCTATATATATATATATATATTATTATTATATTTATATATATATATATTATTTATTTTATATATATTTAAATTACTCTAAATGTTCTTCTAATCCTTTTTATATTTCTTCAATAAGTTTTAAACAAGTCAATAGATTTTCCTCTAAATTCCGTATTTTTTCTACATTTAATACTTTAGGATCAGCTTAAACTTACTCCATAATAGACTTCCACACTTTGTTTACAATTTTAAATTTATCAGATTCACTCACAAGAGTTTTACTAATATCCTCAAAACTAAATATAGGTTCCAAATAAAGATAAAAAGTTTGCACTTTAATCCAATTTTCAAGTACACTTTATATAAAAAGCATTAATTTTTCCCATCTAATAGCCCTTTATTCTGTGAATTTAATATTAGGATTAGCCCTTATAGTTTAAGCTTTCAGTGTATGATCGTCTAATAAAATCTATATGTCTTCAACTGAAGAACCTTAGAGGATTAAAACACCTCTGCTTTTCCAATTTAGAACTGTAAAGTTTAGATTCTCCCATTCTTTTTCCATTTTATCTAAAGCGTTTTCTAATGCGAATTCCTTAGAAGCTGTTTCTGATACTTCTTCTATTTCAGGGAGTTTTTCTAAAATACCTTTATTTAAAAGCATTTTTAAAGATATCTTCTCATAATTAAATTCCTCTTCTTCAGTTTACTTTAATATCTAATATTAAATTTTTTTTTAAAAAAAAAGCCTATATATAAATATACTGTTTATATTTTATCCCAATGTCTTTTTTAAATTCCTGGTCTTGAAATAGTTTCCATGCATGGCAAATATTAATTAATTTAATGAACTTCATTCCTAAAATCTTCTGAAATTTTCGCAGTTAGAGAATCTGGTTTAAAAGAACTAACTATTCTATTTGAAACTTTCAAATATTCTCTGACAATCTACTCAGATTCTGAATAGTCTAATTATTAAACTGGTCCATTCATCCATTTTTTTTTATTTTCGCTAAAAATACTTATAGCCTTCCATAATTTAGAATATGGCTCAAATCGTTTCTATAAATTAACAAATTTATCGAAATTCGAACTAATTCCAAATAATTTCTTCTCCTAATCTAAAATATCCTCCATTAAGCTATTTGCATCAGCTAGAGTTTCTTCGAATTTCTCAATTTCACCTATATATTCTTTATATTTATATATTTCTGTAAAAGCCTCAAATTATTCAACATCATCCCAATATACAGAAACTCTATCTTCAAATATTTATCTGTTTTCTCTTAATTTTTCTTCTAATCTTTGTCTTTCAATAGAATGTTTTTCATCCTACATAGCTAATTCTTTATCTAATTTATCAGGCCAATCATGCACATCTTTAGAAAGTTCAAGAATTATTTAATTACCTTTAATATTCAATTTTTATAAAAATACTACTTTCTGAAAACATAAACTAGTTTTTTATTTTATTTATATTCTATCACTAGTTAAATCAGAAATAAATTTTTCCATTTCTTCTACCTAAAATTTAAAATATAAAATATGTATAAAAATATGTATATAAATAAATATAAATATATTTATATATATATATATATTATATATATATATGTATATTTATATATTATTTAATTTTTTTTTATATTTTAAATATACTTCATCAGCAGTATTTGTTGATTTTCTAATAAAAGTTGCAATTTTAGAATATTTTTCTGTAATAATTCTTAAACCATTAATTAGATTTTCTTCAAAAGTACTCACTAATTTGAAGTTTAAATCTTTAATGTTTTTCTTTATTGAATTTTTTACTTCTTCACATCTAACATCAAAAAAAGGAAATTTTATTCTATCGGGGATTTAATTAATTAAATTTTCATATTTAATTAAAATTTAATAATATTATCTAAATTCTTCATTTAAAATATTTTATTTTTTATTTATAATTAATTTTAATTCCCTTTCGGCTTATTTATCAATAAAAGGCTTAAATTATTCAAAAGCTTAAAATGCTAAATGACATTCATCGAAATGTTTTAAAATATGGATCATAGTTTTTGCACATATATCAGTAAAAAATTGCTCATTAAAATTAGCCATTTATAAAAACTTACTTTTTTTTTATAAAGTCTTAACTAAATTAGTTATTAATTTCTAAGAATTTATTTCATCTTACTTTACTTCATATAAATTTTATGACGGTTATTAATTATTATCATAATTATCATTATTATTATTATTATTATTATAATATTATTATTTTTATTATTTTATTATATTTTTTCAACTAAATTAACAAAAGGACAATAATTATTATAAAATTCATTGAATATATCTGGTGTACTTCCGTCATATTCTTATATTTTAAAATTTTAAAAAGCATGTTTTTAAAATTCATTTTTTACTTCCTAATTATTTTCATTATTTTTATTTTCCGTTACGCTTTTTTCCTAATTTTAATTTTTATCAATTTTAATTTTGCAGTGTCTCGGATGTAAAAAATTATCAAAAGAATTTATAATATTATTTAAAATATTTTTAATTTCTCTTTATATTTATTCATTAGTTTCTTTAAATTTTATCTATTCATCTTCATGTACCATTTAAATACACATTATAGGGAAAAAATGTTTCTAGTCTTTCATAAAATCTGGGATTTTATATGTTAATTAGCTATCTTTTGGACATAACTATAATAAAGTTTTAACATTTCCAGAATTATAATCTCCTCCTTCTTCTTTCATTTGTGCATGACTAGCATTGATTAATTGACTAGCTTTGTTTTATCCGCTTTATTTATTAAAATTGAGATTTTAAATTTAATTCTAAGACTCTTTAATATTTAAATTTTACTTTGAATATTACTATTAATGGTTTTAAATAGCCACATTTGATACCATTAAATTAATTCTAGACTTCGATTTTAGATTCATATTGGGTAGATTTATATTATATTCTTTAATTTTTTTTAGATCAATGACATCTTCATCATCATCACTACAATTTTCTTCATTAATCTTCAGATGTTCAAAACTCGAATTTTTCTTATTTTAAATCTTCCATTTTTTATAAGTAGGGAATGATAAAATAAACTTCTCAAAAGACAAAAAAGACTACTCAATAATAAATCTTAATTATAATCCCATTTAAATTCCCACATTTTCAATGATTTTTTATTTATATTCTTTAGTATAGAGCTTCCATCCGTTTTATTCTTTCCAGTTTTCTTCAGTTTCCCCTATTTTTTAAGCCAGTTTTTTATATGCCTGGTTCTACCTTATGTCTTATAACTCCTAAAAGCCTATTTTATTTAAAAAAACGAAGCCTTCTTCTTCTTCCATTTATTCTTCGATTTTATATTTAAGCGTATTAAAATAAATTGTTTCTGTACTCATTTTTTCTTGATCGATTTTTATTAAATATTCCAGGCTTTTATTTATATTTCTTACAGAATTATTATTTGTATTTTGGCTTTGATTATTAGAATTCTCCTATATATATTCATATTCTTCATATACTTTATTTATACTTTCATCTTCATGGTATTCCTCATCTATTTCTTCTATCTAGTCTCCTGTATATTAAAGGTATTTAGATTTCCTTAAAATATTAGACTAACTATGTGAATGAATTTATTTCTTATTTTAAATATATCCCCCTAAAGTCCATTTACCAGTACTGCCTACAGAACTTGCCAGTCTAAAGAATTTAAATTTCTTAATAATACTAATAGCGCCTCTATGCCAAATATTTTTCAATAAACTAGTAACATTAGTCCTGTACATGCTTTATACTTTCACAAACTAATCAATATTAAGGGTATGTCCAAGAATACTTATTTTTTATAAAGTATTATTTTCAAAAAGCAGAAAACCCGAAAAATCTTAAAACCAATCAATTAAAGAACTATTTATAATATTCATTTATATTAAATTTATTCTACAAAATTCCTTACCTTATTCGACAAAATTATGCCAATTTTTAAACAATTTTATATTAAAACCACCTTCTCTAGATATTCTTTCGCCACTACACAAAACTTATTTCTAATATAAAGTTATATGTAACCTTTATCTTTCTTAAGGAGATAATAAAATATAATCTAACATCGCCTTTTTCATTGCTAATTTAAAATTTTAAAAAATCTCTTAAAACACCTAAATAAAAAAGATTATAAAAAATATTTCAAAAATTTAAATATATATTTCAAATAATTTTATAAATTATATATATATATATATATATATATATATATATATATATAATTTTACTCTAGAAACAGTTTCTCTATTTAATAAACTTTAAGAAATCAATTTATAAGCATTAACCATCCATTTTTTCCTAAACTTCGGAATTTCGTCTGCTTTAATAATATCTGATTCTAAATAATGCATATATCTAGCCGAGCTTTCCTAAACTACTCTAAATATATTCTCTGGCCAATTACTTGGATCAACATAAACGTAGTTACTTTTTCCTAAATATTCCGGATCGAAGACTCCTCCCATTTCTTATAACATTTTATTAAAAAGCAAGTCTGCGGAATCCTACGGTGATCCATTTTCTTCGTTTTCAGGAAAATATTCAGGAAAAAGACTAAGAGAAACAGGCTCTCTTTTCATATCTTCTGGTGTAAATGTAGTTGATATTCCAGTCTTAGCTTTTTTTTGAAATGGGTTCAGTTCATCTATTATAGCTAGTTGTATAGGAATTTCACATTCAGGCTTTTATACAGTAGTTGATGTCTATTATAAAGATACAATCTATAATAAATGCTCTATTTTAAGCTTTCCACAATATTACATATAACTCCCGATTCTTTAAACAGGTGAATAATAACCTAAATCTCCAAATTTGGCAAATGTAGCAGCTATAGTACGCTCGTTTCTGTCAAAAAGGTCCTCGTATGGTATTTCTAAAGCATTTAATTTAGTACTTTTTTTAAATTCTTTAAAAAAACTCTTAGCGCTTGCTGTTTTTCCACTCAAAGGTCTTTTTCCTGAAAGACTTGATTTCAAATTTCTTACTTATAAAGAATTAGGCATTCCTCTTATTTCATCAGCTTTAGAATAAAAATCATTATTATTATCGAAATCTTCATAAATATCTAAATCTTTATCATTTTAATTGATTTCATCGACAATCTATTTATTTTTTTCTTATAAGCGATGCATTAATTCTGGTTTAGCAGATTTTATACGCATTAAATTTGCACTTTAAAGTCGTTTTGATGAAGAAGTTTAAGGCTTAGATATTTATTATTATTATTATTATTATTATTATTATTATTATTATTATTATTATTATTATTATTATTATTATGTAATGTTTTCTTATTATTAATTATTTTATAATTATGGTTTCTTATAATTTGTAGCTGTTTTAACGTTTCTTTCTTATTTTGCTAAAGGAGAATTAAGTCTTTTAATAGAAAGTTATTATTATTATATTTTTTTTTTTTTTTATTAAGTTTTTTCCATTTATATCATTTTTTATTATTATTAATCATTTTTATTTGTTTATTATGTTTAAGGTCGAATTACTGAAGGCGGTCGCGCAATTTTTTTAATTTAATCTCCTATATTTCTATCTATATCTATATTTTTGAACATTTGCATTTATTCGTATTAATTCATTTATTATATAGGCAGATTTCTTAAAGGAAATTAACTATCACTCTCTATATAGTTTTTATCTTCAACTATATTTCTTATTTGTGTATTTTTACTGCCTACCTAGGACAAAAATTAGTACGGTTATTAATGCTAATTCACTATTCTTTGAAAATTTACCTAAGTATTTACATTTTAGGCTACATTTTCTATTTTTTAATCTTCATCATTCTATGTGTTTAAGTTTTTTAATTATTAATATTATTATTCTTCAAATTATAATTATGTATTATATTAAATTATTTCTATTTATAAATATTTTTAAAAAAATATGAAATATATATATTTACCATTTTTAAATTTAGGTACTGATAAACCTCTAGATAAAGGCTTTATTCCTTAAAACAATTAATTTTTATTAGTACGAACTAAAGTCTTGCTATTATTTAAATCTTACCAAAATTTGTTTGATATATCTTAACTATATAAAATTTAAGAATTTACGTTTCTATATTTAGGTGCTAATCCAAAAAACCTCTTCAAAGATTAACTCATACTCATTTCTTTTTCATTATTTAATTCTTTTTAATTGATGTTATTACTATTATTATTATTATTATTATTTTATCCGTTTTATTCATTTATGTTTGATTATTCGCTTATGGAAGAAAACATAACGTTTGAAGGATTTATTATTCTTTTGCTTTAAAGTAGATAATTAGGAGCACTTTTTTACTGTAAGTTATTTTATTATTTTAGGGATTATTATTTTTGGTTTTTTTACATATTTTCCCTTATTTTTTTATGAGAGTGTATTATTTACTAATTTTGATTTAATTAAAAATGTTTTATTTTTATTTTTTTTAAATTTTTTTAAAATAGTTTAATAATTTTTATTTTTTAAATATATTTAAAATATTTTTTTATTTAAAAAAGAATTTTATTTTAATTATATTATTTTTTATAAAAATACATATTATTATATAATTATTATTTATATAAATCAACAAATAATTTTATATTTTATAAAAATATACAGTTTTTAACATAATTATTTTATTAAACTTTAATAAATTTAATATTCTAAATTAATAACATAATAATATACACTAATCTAAAAATAATGATTATAATTTAAAAATGAATTAAATATAATATGTATATATATATTTATTTTATTATTAGAGAAAATTAAATAAAAAAAAGATAATTTTTGTCTAAAATTATATTTATAAAATAGTATTTCATATTATATAATTTCTCCTTTAACTAAAAAATATCAATCATCATCATCAAACAAAGTTCTTTTTTTCTATTTTTAAGTATTATTATTATTATTATTACTACCAATACTTTTAGTATTCCTACCACTAATTAAATCATTATTTTATTTATTCAATAGATTATTTCCTTTATCATCCTCATCGTCATCATCGAAAAGACTTTTAATAGTTCCAGTTCTTGAAACCGGTTTTAGAATATTATTATTATTATTATTATTTATTATCTTTGAATTTCCTCTATTTGGTTTAATTGCAAAATCATCGTTTTCATCTGAGCTTCCTCCAAAAAGTGTTATTTTACTTTAAGTTCTTTATTAATTTTTTACTTATTTAACTTCTTATTCATCATCATCATCATCATCAAAAAGCCCTTTTTTTTTCTTAGAAGGTCCTCCTTAAGAAGATAAAGATGGTAAGTTACTTCTGACTACAGGAGGTGGTACAACAGATTATTTTTGAGGCATTTTTTAAGCAAAATTATTCTATTCATCTTCACTTTCATCTCCAAAGATAACTTTTTTTTTTTTCTAATCTTTATTGTTTTACAAAGGATTCTCACTAATTTTGGGAAGAGCAACTTTCGGTTGTTCACTTATTCGACTTAAAGGATTACTTGGTCTACCTAAAGGATTTTAAGAAACAGGTTATATAGGTTTAATTTCTTCTACTTCTTTTTTTATATCGGAAAGGTTATTTTATTATTATTATTTCGTAGTAATTAGAGGCTTGTCATCTTCATCACTTGAAAAACTAATGTTTTTTTTACTTGGTTTATCATTTATTTTAGGTAGTTATGCTTATATCTATTTTTGTTATTATTATGTAGGAGGTTATATAGGTTTAATTTCTTAATTTTATGGAATTTTTGGTTATATATTAATTTCTCTTTATTAAACTTATAAAGGAAGATCATATTCTTAGTTTAAAAAATTAGTTTATTTATTAGATTTTTCATCATGAAAGGGTATTATTGTTCTTGGTTTTCTTTTTTTTAAAGGAGGAGCTGATCTCTCGGTTTATTTTTAAATTTAATCTTTATCTTCTTCTTCTTCTTCTACTTCTTCATTTACTTTTTTCTTTTCATCTTCTTGTTTATATCTTAAACTTGGTGGAGTCATCCCCATTAACATCCCTGAGTTAAAATTCAATTTATTTTATATATTTTTTAAATTTCTGATATGTTATTAGGTTTAATTTCTACTTCTTTATTTTCTAAATTCAGTGAACTTTGATTTAATATCACATTCTAGTTCGTATTTCAAGATCTTCGAATACTTTTATATTGTTTATGGTAATATCTTCTTATCATTATTTTGAACTTCGATAGGAGGTTTAGTTACAGGTAAATGGGGCATTTAAGGTGATTTTTGGGGATTTTATTTAGGAGTAGATTCTTCATTAGAGTCATCGTTTTCGGATGAATCTTCAATTAAATTTCGCTTTTTAAAGACTGCTACTCTTTATGGGATTACTGGTACATTAGATGAAGAATCTTTTTTATTATATTTCTTGTTCTTCTTATTATTATTATTTTAATTTTCTTTCTTGTTCTTCTTCTTATTATTATTATTTTAATTTTCTTTCTTGTTCTTCTTCTTATTATTATTATTTTAATTTTCTTTCTTGTTCTTCTTCTTATTATTATTATTTTAATTTTTTTTCTTGTTCTTCCTATTATTATTATTTTAATTTTCTTTCTTGTTCTTCCTATTATTATTATTTTAATTTTCTTTCTTGTTCTTCTTATTATTATTACTATTATTTTAATTTTCTTTCATTTTCTTCTTTTTCTTTTTTTAATTCTTCTTGTCTTTTTTATTCTTTTTCATCTTAAGAATTTTTAATTTTCGAATCAACATCCTCATCCGAATCTTCAAATATTTATTTAACCGAATTATTTCTCTAACTTTTACCAACAACACTACTATCAATTTTAACAATAGGGACATTACTTTATTTTTTTTTAAATTAATCTTCTTCCTCATCATCGTCATCATTAAAAAGTGATCCTACTATTTTTTTTTTATCCACTCCTCCAATATTTCCTGTTGTGTTTTAAGCTCTTAAAATTCCTTTCGGTTACAAAGCGTTCTACTTATCCGATTTCGGTACAATTTCATCATCTTCATCCGAATCATCAAAAAGCCCTTTTTTTCCTTTTTTCCTTTCATTTTATTAGATTACAGGTGCAATAATCTACCTTTTATATTGACTTCCGATTTTCCTTGCTGTCTCAAATGGATCTTCTTCATCATCATCATCAAATAATTTTGTCAATCTTTTCTTCGAAGACTATTATTTTTATATAATAGGTACTACTTATACAGGATTTCCTTAAGAAGGTACAGGCTAAGACAATGAATCTTTACCTTTACTTTAACCATCATTTACAGGTTCCTAAGCAGCAGTTTCATTTTTGATTTAATCTACAAACTTGACTTTTTTTTCTTATGGGCTATCCTAATCTTCATTAGCATTATTTTAAAAGACTGTTTTTTTCGATATTAGCATGTTGATATCAAATTTATTACTTTGTTATCTTGAAAACAACTTTTTCGATCCATCATCGTCTTCCTCATCTGAATCAATGAATATATTTTAAGATTTTCTAGCATAAATGGGAATAATAGAACCCAATTTATTTGTGTTTCTCTCTTCATTCATTTTTTCGTTTAAAGCATCAGTTGTTTTTTAATTAGTATTATCATTTTTAGGCTCTTCCTCATTTAATTATTAAACTAAACCCATTTTTTACTAATGAATTCTTTTTAATTCATCTTAAACAGACAATGGTGCTTTCGGTTTTTAAAATTAAATAGGCTTTTCTTACTCTTCTGCATGTTCTTTTTCGGGGATTTCTTTATTTTTTAAAGCTTATTAATGTTAGCTTTCTGATGTTAAAGATACTTCTTAGTTTAGTTTAATAAGAGGTGGAGGAGGAATGGAAGTAGGAAGTTTAGAATCTAAATTTGCTATATATATATTTATTTTTATTATAAATTAAAAAAAAAAATAGTATAAATATATTTATTGTTTTCTTACAAACATCCATATTCTTTGATAAAGATGATGGAATGGCAACAATTGGATCAGGAGGTGGTGGTATTATAGAATTCTAAAAACTATGAGGAGGTGGTGGAATACAATTATTTTAAAATGGAATTTCATTATAAGGATTTTCGTTATTTTAGTTAATTTGGATTTATTATGATAAAATAGTTGATGGTTTTCTACTTTTTTATATAGAAATAATATCATCTTCATCTTCGAAATTTCCAACAAGTCCTAAAAAAGGATCTTTATAAAAAGACTTAGAACCTATAAAATGAGGAACTCGAATTGATTTATTAGAAGATTAATTTTATGGTAACATTTAAGAAGATTAAGAAACAGATTTTTCATCGAAAGCGTCTTCTATTAAATCATCTTAAGCAATAGAAAAAGCTTCCATTCCAAATTAAAGCGCTTTTTTAAAATATTCAATTTTTTTAGAATCATTTTATGTAGAAATTTAACCTAATAAAGGAATATCTTTTTATATAGATTATTATTCACATTATTATTGTGAATAAATATCCAAAGGTGCTACTCTCTAAGATTTATATACAAACATATTTATAATATATATAATAAATACATTAATAAATAAATATATAAATATATAAATATATAAATATATAAATATATATATATATATATATATATATATATTATATATTATAATTTATTATACTTATTCTGTAAATTTTTTTTCTGATAATTCTTATAATTATTAATAAGTATTACTTATTTCAACATTACACGAATTTAATATATATTTTAATTACTTAAATTTATTAAATGTATTTTCTTAATTTAATAATATTTTATCTGAAAAAAACTAAATTGATTTTATTAACTTTTTTTTTTATTTATATAATCACTTTTATATTTTCTTATTTTATTTTACTTTATCATCAGATTACAATGTCCAATTTCTAATTTCTTGTCGTAAAGTTGTAAATTATGTCATTATTTATTTTTATTTTTTTAATATATTATTTATAATTCTTTTTTTATATTATAAAATTTTAATATTTTATATTCATTATATTAATATTGTTTTAATAATAAAATTTTTTATTTTTATTTTATAAAAATATATTTTTTTTTAATTTAAATAAATAAACTTTTTTTTGAAAAAAAAAATCGTATAATTTTATATATTTTTTTTTTTAATAAATTTTCATAATATTAATTTAATATTAAAGTAATAATTATTAAATTATTTTTACATTATAAAAGGTTTATATATATTATTAATTTAGTTTATATATATTAATTATTAATAAACATATAGATTTATCTTTATAACAATAAAAAAAAAATTATTTGAAAAATTCCGAATTAAAAAATTATAATTATATAAAAATATATAATTTATATAACTTGTTAAAAATCTAAAAAAAAAAAAAAAAAATTCAAATTAAATAAAAACATGGAAATCGAATAAGAAAAAATAAAAGAATTAGAATAAAAAGCCGAAGAATTACATAAATAATAAAAATATAGTGAAACACTTGATTTATTAGAATTAATTCTAAATATGAAACGCGATTTATATGGTGAAAAAAGCCAAGATTACAAAAACGCATGCGATAAATTAAGTGAAATATGCAATTTTATCGGCATGATATGCCTAAACAACGAAAAATATGACCAATGTATCACTTTTCTTAAAAAAGCTGAAATATTAAGCATTAATTCAAGCCTATAAAAATCTATTACATACAATAACATAGCCTAATATTGCAAATAAACTAATAAAACAAAAACAGGAATTAATTATTTACAAAAGGCTTAAGATATATAATTAAAATAAGGTAACCCAATGTTATTAGCGGATATTCATTTAAATTAATGTGCTTTATTATCAAAAGTAGAGAAACATTAAGAAGCACTTGAGCATATTTTAATTGCTGTAGTTTTATTATAAGATTAATATAATTAAATACTTATAGCATAGATAGAATAAAAAGATAATAAAAAATATGAAAATAATAATAAATTATAATAAGAAAATAATTAAGTATAATAATAAGATAATAATTAAGTATAATAATAATAAGAAAATAATTAAGATTAATAAAATAATGAAAATGAAGAACTTTTGACAAAATTAGCTATCGCATATCATAATATGGGTGTATAATTCGAATATTTAAAAAGATATGAGGAATCTATATAAACATATGAAAAGGCAGTTTTATTTGCCAATAAATAATTAGGTGAAAATCATTAATTATCGAAATAATTTTCGGAAGTTTTAAATTCCGCAAATAAACATATTACCGATTAAATAAATAAAGACTATAGTAAAAGGAAAAACACTAATAATTAGTTTAGTATTGAAAAAGTAAGTGTTTTATACAATTCAAATAAAAAAACAAGAAAAGATTTTATTGTAAAATAAGCAACTAAAACTGGTTATAAGACTAAAACAACTCATCAAGATATTAATAATAATAAAGTAATTAAAAATTAAAAATTGGCTAAAACCTCATATGGATTTATATCTAATTAAAATATTGAAAATGGATTAAATAATGAAAACAAATTTAATAATGTGAAAAATTATTAATCAAATAAATAAGAAGGAAATTTTTGAATTTTTGATTTTTTTTTATTTAATAAAAAAAAAAAAAAAATATTTATATACATATATATATATTAAAATAAATATAAAAAATATTTAAAAAAAAAAAAAAAAAAAAACTTTCAAAAAAAACTTTCAAAAAAAAAAAAAAAACTTTTTTTTTTTAATAATTTTTTAATTTTTTTTTAATTAATTTTTAAAAAACAAAAATGGGGTATAAAAATTAAATTTTTTTTTTTTATTTTT